GGGGGGGGGGTGATTAAGGAAGATGCGTGTATAAAGAGAATAGGAAGAATATTTTTTTTTCGATGAGATGCGAGGCGAGGAGAGGGGGTTCAGGGAGAATTAGATTGATGTGATCGTGGGGTGATTGATGGGTGGAGTTTAAGGGGATTCAGTCATAAATACGAACTACGAACTAATAAGGTAGATGATATCATTAGACAATAGTGATAACTGAGTGAAAGACGTGTAGTTCAAACAATCCCTAATCATAATTTTAGAAGAAACTGTTTTAAGAATTATAAAGAATGAAAAATAAAAACGCGTTCGTGTCATTCACATGAATTTAATCATCGACTAAAAATTAGTCTTTAATGTTCTCCGTGTCAACTGAAATTTTCCCAGCAGCTCCAAGTTAATGAAAACATATGAAAGAAGATACACATGTACTTATTAGCTTAACTGCTAAAGAAATTCTCACTGTAACTTTGTTTCGCTCTGTCGAAGAATAATGAAAACAAGAGTAATTGAAAGAATAATCGTAAATCGCTCGAATTCACCGAACGATGTACGAGGATTATACATAATTATATAAATTATAAATATTGATATTGACTAAATTATATTATATGATTATTATACATACGAGAATGAAGTAAAATCACTCATGACCCTGGTATCTCGCGTAAAAATGTAACGTTAATACACAAAAAACGATTATAAATATAAATATATATAAATAGAGTTTAAATAAATACAAAAACGATGAATTGCGGTTGTTTAGATCGCTTTGACTCTGTGCGGTGAAAATTGATAAATTTAAATGTCTAATGCATTGTAAATATCTCGGTTGAAACCAAACAATATGAGAAAATTTAAGACGAGAGAGAATACAAAGTCAGCCCTGAGTTATCATGTTTATCTTGTTTTTCGCCTCGAAACAACATCGACACGCATTATCTCCTAATTTCATTGACATGTAGAGGTCAATATTAACAGTAAAATCATACTTTCACCAGTACTTCTGCCAACAAGAGGTGATTGATCTCAAGAAGAAATGATAATCGGCGAAAAATTAGATTTTAGAAACTACCAAGACACTGCCAACAATTGGACCAACTCCCAGTGAATCTTAACGAGACTGGCGTGTCCTTGAACCATTGGAATTTGGCCCAGAATAACTAGTGAACCCATACATGGTCTTGAACCCTCCAAAATTCTCGATGAGAAGTAACAAAAGCCTAGTCCAATTTTACTCCTAGTTAATCCCAGAATTCCATCACAATTTATTCCTTCGTAACACGTACGAATAAATTTCAAGGGAAAGTCGGCGGCATTCGACAGAAGTTGCTATTCTATTGAAAATTTTATCATTTTTTCGCTGATTATGTTGAAAAATCCCACAGCATTCTGAGCCATTGCAAATAGAAATGTTGAATAATAATATTTTATAGAAAAAAAATAATAGTTTTTCTGTACAACTTATTGCGTTGATATATTTTCTATAGAAATTCCTTCGCTCAAATTTTCCGAGTTTTTTCGTTTGATTCTCCTCTAATGAGAGAAAATGGAATGGAAAATGTGAAAATTTATGTGGAGGTCTGCAGAGAATATCTGAACAGAATAAGTTGTATAGAAAAATTAAATGTACTTTCTTTTCTATAAAATAATTTTATTGCGTGATTTTGCAATCGAATCGGCAAAAAACTAATATAATTTGCTAGCGAATTCCCTAGGTTTTTCAATGAAATTTTATCGCGCGTGAAATCACGGGAGTGTCTGAGTGCACGTCATACTGTATCTAAGTGCTGAATGGGTGATAATAAACTTAACAAAAAAAATGAATGAGATGTTCAACAAGAATGCCTGTGTTTTTTGAGAGTTTATTTGTCAACTCAAATTAAACATAGTGTCTACGTGGCTTTAAGTTGTCTTAGAGTCCTTAGACTGGTGTATTAAAAAAAAACGAAGAGATAACAAATTTTAACGAGAACAGAAATATCTTAAACACTTTAGCCGTAAGCCTAAACCGATACGAGGCGATTTACCCTAGTTCATAGAGTGGAGAAATCTTCGAAATGACGAGAGAACATTTCCTGTTTTATGGCACTGGAAAAATCGCCTCCCAAATCCTTGTCATTTACTCACTTACGTAGATAAACGAAAAATGAAATAAATAAACCCAAAAAAATTAATAAAGTTTTTGATGTCTTCGAGTGTAACTATGAAGTTTGTAAAACACACGCGCACAAGTGACAATTTTAAGAGTTCACGTGACTATATACAAGAAAAACCTTATTGATCTAAAAAACATAAGATTAAAAACTGAATGAAACAAATTATCCACAAAATACACGATCTGAATGAAACAAGAGGAACAGAGAGATGATGAGAAATAACATTTAAATGTAAAAGAAAACATTAATATATACATGTTGTCGAGTAACCCAAGTTCTCAAATCGAGTAGAAAACAAAAAATGGAAATACTTAATTGTAAGCGACCCCTGATTTTCATTTATATTCATCACTTCATGGTAAACAAGTAAAAATAATTATTAAAAAATACAAAAAAAAGAGGAAAAAAAGTTATAGAATTTCATTGTAATACGTTTTCTCCCGATTCACGCACGAGTATTGTCGCGTCCGCGTTATATTTGTAACGCTGAAACCGCATTAATTGGTTAATAAAAGTTATCTAGATGTAAAAAATAACGACGCATTTCTTTCATTTCGCCAGTTGAATAATTCCCCTCCAATTTTTATTCTCGTAAAGTATTTCACTCAATATTTTGAGTAAATAGTGCCTCATAAATTTACTGCGGGGGACTTCCGACTTTTATTACGCTTCGATAATTGATTTAGGTCAACAGTCGTGTGATCGAACCAGTTCTTGATCGAGTACATTGCACTTGAAAATAGAAAGGCTCGTGTGTAAGAGCTTCAGCTGGTATTCCAAACCAGTTTTCTAACTTCTGAGATACAACCAGAATTTCATCATAAGAGATTATCTGGTGCATGAGCAACCGCATATCTGCATATCTGCGGATGCAATGTCCATACGCAAACGAAAGTGATATTATATCGTGTGTGGGTTTCAAGTGGGGCAGCGAATAGAATAATCACAAAGGAGACGAGCCCCCGAAGCCAGTGAAGCATGAGGTCTACGTGATGTTGATAGTCTTCCTACTTCATTGAAGTTTATGGAAAAGAGGGCATGTGTATGGAGGGGCACGTGGAGTAAAATGGACACTTTCGACGGCTTTTTAAACGTTATTGACTCATTTATTTTCCAACGAAATAGGGTAATTTTTTTCCCCGTGGGAAGTTTAATCGTTCCCCTTTGTAGTAATTTTGTTGCTGATGTAGGAACATGAGGAAAAATGTCAGAAATGTCCATTTCGCGGGACTCTCTCGTAAATAATGAAAATTGCACGCATTGGGAGAAGGAAATTGATATTTCGTGGACAGTTGATCAGGGACCAGTATCAATCATTATTTTTGTAATATTATGAGAAGTTTCACCTCACTATAATTAAGGTTTACTTATGTTCATTGAAATTTGGAAAATAATGGAATAATTGATAATTCAAATTTTCAATTGACTATTGAGTAAATAATTCTACATTTCATAAATGTTTTTTTTCGATTAGCCATATAATCGTCAAGCTTCTAAACTCAATTGTTGATTGATAAATTAATTCGGAATTTAAATATTCAATTGATGATTAAGGTAATAATTTAAAAATTGCTGGGTAATATTAACCAGTTAAGTAATGTAAAAATTTAACTCAACTTAGAGATTATAAGTTTACTGATATCTGCAGCTCTATTCGCGAGTGTCATTGAATTCCATTTTGGGAGACAAAATTATGAAATTCGACATTTCAATGAAAATTTAATGCAACACTACATTTTTGAGGCGCAGGAAGACGAGTATTCCCATAATTTACTTGAATTTTTAATGAAAAGATCAGTATTCAGTGCTAAATTACGATAAACATTGAGAAAAAAATTATATTTACCAAATACTCATTTACTTGAGAGAAGCAATTATTTTTCCACAATCGTATTTCTTTAATTGAGTCATTCCCAGGTGAGCCTGAACAGGCCTCAATTAGGGGAGGCTGGGGTAAAATGGATGCTTTTGACTTTTTTTAAAATGTTAATGACAACTTGAAATGTTGATAAAATTAAATATTTTTTTTTTCAATGCAAAGAGCATTTCTTTCTCTTTGTAATGAGCCTAAACTGAGCTCAATTGATAAATTTGTTTCTCAGTTATGAGTAATTTAAAAATAGTCCAAAGTGTCCATTTTACCCCATCCTCTCCTATAACGATCATGTTGCTCTAGAGGATGACGATGTTGCACATGACCTTGGATGAACGCCTCTAATGATTATTAATTTTTCTGAAATTTTTTACTTCCTAATTTTTTATTGCTGGTACTTATT